TTACCTTTAAGGTCTTTAACTTACCATTGATATGGGATAAGTAAATTGAAACAAATTTTTTTTCACATATTATTTGTTTCAAATTATAAAAATATTCAAAAATTTTTTTACTTAAAATTTGTACCACGTGTAAGTAAATCTTTTTATGTTTAGTTACAGTACTGTTATATATGGGGAGAGTAATATTACTGTTAATTCTAACTTATATAAATAGTTAACTGTATTTAACCGAATGAGTATTATCAGCTAACTCAACAGAAATATCAGAACATTTTGTGATTAAAAAAAAACATGCTCAATTATATTTTATTGAGGTACAGAGTGATTTGAAGTGTAGTAAAAATCAAGATTTTGTAATTCACTCACTTAAAGAATTAGACATTACATTTTATAAAAACATTAGTTAAGTTAATGTTATTACTCTGTGGTCTTTATAGTAAGGTAAGCACCTTTAATCCATTGTGAGGGTTCATCAAAAAATTTCTGCGTATATCATCAAACATGATAGTGTTTTTACTGTTGTACTGCTCAAATTTTCCCCAGATCACTCCCAGTGGCTTTACCTGGAACAGAAAGAAATGTATCAAAACATATCAGGTTTAATGATTTTAATGACACACTTGGAAGTGGGATGAAATTGTACAATAATTTGGTCTTTCTCTTCACTGATGTGTATCAAAATGTCATTTCACTTCCAAAATAATAAATTTAACATTTGTTATATGCCCTACATTATATGATCTAGCATACTTGGCACATATTACAAAAACAAATTAACTCTTCAGTGTCATATGTAAATATTTTTTTCTAGTGTGCTAAGAGTACTTTATCCAAAAGACCCCCCCCCCCCCTCCAAAAAAACAAAAAACAAATCTTGTTTTAGGATCATCCATAAAGTTGATCTTATTTTTTGCTGAAATACACATATACATATTTTGGGTATAAAACTGAGGTGAGTCCTAACGGTGGAAAAATGTGGAAAGCTTATACTTTTTTTTAACACTATGCTCTTGTTCTTCACATTACCAATAGATTTTTTAATGTTAATTTACTGTGTGCAAAACTAGTACAATTCTGTAACTGTATAAGGTCATAAAAAGTGCTGAAAAGTAAAAAACCCCTGAAGATTGTGGAGCATGTTCCGTCCTAACATGTAGAGAGTTTCATACTTCCTTTTAACTTTATACAATAAATTATTGTGTATTTTAAAAACATTGGAGTTACCAACTGATTTTATGTTACATTTTATGATTATTTGTTTTGCAAGAGTAAAAATGTTTTACTCACATAAACTTAGAACTGATTTTCGATTTCTGTTATAAATTTAGCATACTTGTTTTTAATTGAAGAACCATTATGATTATAATAATAAACTGACAAGTAGGGATGGCTGATGCAGATAGCTGTTGAGTAGCTTTGTATGAATTTTTTCCACAGGCGAGTATAATAGGAAATTTCAGTTATACACTCAAATAAATGTACAAAATGTATACATTATACAGTGAGATCATTTACAAAATGGATTTCCAGAAATTCACTTCCATGATACTATGATCTAAATCTCTATTCAAAATCATTTTGTTTTTAGCAATTTATAATGATTCCCTTATGTTAAATTCATTTTCTGAATTAAGCATTTGTACTTTATCCCAATCAGTACTATGTGAAGGGTTTGACACATGTTCCATGAAGGGTGAACCACTAATTTTTCACTTATCAACAGCATTTTTGTGTTTTTTAAATTGAAACTTCAAATTCCAATTTGTCTGTCCAGTATAACTTAACCACAACTACAAGAGATTTTATATATTCCACATCTGTTATTCAATTGTATCTTTAACTCTATTAATGATATTAATTAATTTTAATTGATGATTATTCAATAGTCTAGATATAAGATAGTAAAATCAGGGCTCGAAATTAGCAGGGCCCGGGAGCCAATGGCCACCAATAATGCCAGTGGACCCGTAAAAAGTGTCTCTAGGTAGCTCATGTAGTCCCTTAAAATCAAAAGAGCCATTAAATGTTTGACTCCTCATAAATTGATCTAAACATTTCTTAACTTACGACAAACTACGAATGGACTGTCCCAAATTTACGAGCACTTGTCAGTCATGTACAATTCACAAACGTCGTCACTATGAATGCTCGTGTATTCAAAGTAATGGACTTTCATCACTTTGTCCACTATTCAAACTTTTTAGTATCAGTGTAAGGGAATTGATATATAAAATTGGAAATTAGTGATTATTTGAACTTTTATAAAGATGACTACTGTTTTCAATTAGAATGCTACTTTTTTAACTTTTGAGCTTTTCCCAAAAAAATACAAGTACAAATTGCAAACTTGTAAATTGTTTGGAGAATCTACCTTATTGCACATACATTGTTTGTACATGTTAGGGTACACACTTTTGGATCCAACTTTGCAGACTGCACTAGCCCAAAATAAAAACAAAACATAACTGTTTTACCGATCACATCACAATTGGAAATCATGATTGCCAATAATTACAGTGCACAATCAGCCCGATTCTGATTATGTAAAGTTGACAGTTTAACCTTTAAAACTGTAATGGCTACAGAGAATGTACTTTGAAGGTTCATTAAATTTGAAATGGTTGAAATTATCAATACATGTTCCACGCAAAACAAACAAAATAAATCATGGTCTCTTTTCCATTTTTTATTAGAATGATTGAAACAAAAATTGGGACTGAACTTCCAGCTAGTACATGATCAATATATAACATTATGTGACTGTGGTGAGAGACAAACAAATTGTTGAGGTTCATTGCCTAAATTCATGATTCACTTCAGCCATAAGCTCGAAGACTTTTGCTATCATTGTACACATTTTGAGCTAAACCACTTTCTAATCCAAAGAATGTATTAAAATCAAAGGTCAAATAAAATGTTTAAAAGTTTTCATTCACAAAAAGAGGAATCTTCAAAGCTGTTGCTGATATGTATTTTTTTTAAATCAGAACTTACTGAAAAATGCTTCTAATTCTATCTTTACTGTATATATAATGATCAACATGCTTTCATTGAATGTGTTTCAAATCTCAGCACTTACAATCACTTTTGAAATTTGTATAAAATCCTGAAATATTAACTTTTACTGCTTATAAAGATGTATACACTCCTCTGTTAGTTACAGGTGCAACTGACAGTTGGTTATGAGAACTGCCCACCTTCGTGATTCTTGTTTTTCAACCATTTGCTTCATACTCGAAAAACCCAAAATATTTACTTTTTCTCATTCAGAAGCAATCCAACCAATCAGCAATCACGTTTTTCAAGCCACAACTAACTTTAAAGTAGCTTCTTGGAAATATGCATATCAAGACACATGGTAGTGCATTGTGAAGTGAAAACAATCTACAAGAAACACTGTGCATTATTAACAGCAGTGATATTTTAGTGATTTTCCACTTTCTATAGCTTGGTAATCCAAACTATCACATATTTTAAGTGGATGGATTCTAGAGTCAATCCAGTAAAAAACATACAAGATATAAAATCTCCAATTTTGACTGAATTTCTTCCTTTTTTCTTATTTTTCTTTACACCGCAAGAATGGAAAATTCATATGCAGAAACACATACTTAACTTTTATGAATTTTTTTTCATATTTGGTATACTGATAGATCTTTAAAACTTACAGTTAGGTGTCAAATTTGGTCTAAATATAAGCCACATGTGCAAAGTTATTCAACAAAACTGCTCACTCTTGACCAAAAGTTTTGCACACACCTATGAAAAAAGTCATGTGAGCTATCAAGCTAAAATTATTACTGCAGCTTCACCTATGAGTAAAAGTGTACTGTTTTAAGTTTTTGTCATATGGATTAAAGACAGATGATTTAGAGCAGCAAAACTATAGAATGAAAGCACATACAGATACACAAGTAAACTAGATTAGCAGTTTCTAGCTCAAGCTTTCAAAAGAATCATAGGAGGTGATGGTTATTATTCATTGCCAAGTTTTAAGCATAGATTTGCTAAATTTTTTGAAATTCTTTTAATTAAAGAGTGTTTAGCATCACATGATATTAGCTTAAGCAAATAGCGTAAATAATGATGTTTGATACGGCTGTACTGAGTGCATGTGGGTGATGACAAGAAACTGTTAATCTAGATTACATGGTGTTGCTATAAAGAAAGTTATTAATGCTGAGTTTAGAAAGGAAAACCTACCACATATATCTTAAAGGATCTGGTTGGGTCTCTAAAATATAGGTCTGTTCTAAATAATATGGATGCAATCCTAAAGCTAATGCTGGTTACTATCGAGTGTCAATTTTTATGGTTTGTTGGTGTGTATTGACAAAAGAAGGGGCCAACAAAGGACGGAGTGTGCAATTTAAAGAAATAATAATGGCTGGAGATGGCTTGAATGGGTAATGAAGAAAAACTTTAATATAAGTTTAACATAACAGCAAACGTACAACGTTTCGACAAAGTTTTGTCATCATCAGGTACCTGATTATAATACTCATAAACGAAGTTTATCAGTAAACATTATAATTCTTTCATATACAAAATATTTCTATTTTTTTTAATTAAGTATTAAGGTTTGTAAAGCAATGTTTCTCTCATGCCTTTTTTTCTTTTCACATCTTGCCTATCTGTCATGCAAAGTAATTTTCATTTTAAAATTAAAAATACTTTTATGCATCAGAAAATGTTGAAATTTCACATGCAAAATCCTTATAATGTCCGGATAGTTATCAACCATTTCTTAGAAAAAACTTCATTTTTTTTTCTGCTATTTTCAGTAATTAATCTCTGCATGAATTCGATAAATCTGACCAATCTCCCAAACACCATAAAAAATGAGAAAATAAACATAAATTATGCTTGTTCATTCTAGAATGAACACTAATTATAACACAAAAACATAAATGTTTAGACAAAATAGCTTAAATCTCATAACATTATACATTTATATATATTTATCATATTGACCTTTCACCCATGCCTAGCTAACAATACAGAAGTTACAATGATGTGGCTCATGTGCACTCATGTTACCGTATGAAATAACATAAAACTGACCTTTGGTCTGTACAAAGTAACTTGTCTTGGCTGTGTTTTAGTCGACTAGTATTTTGTAATTTACAGCCACATTTCAATTATTATACATTATATATGTATATAGATTATTGCTATTTTGAAATAAGTTCTTAGTTATTTTTCCTAAAACATAGAACAGTAAATAAAAAAGTAAAGCAAACAATCATCTCTTATAGTTACGACCTTTGTATTCAGTTGCTTCTTGATGTAGGTTGCTAAGCCTTTAAAAATTTTGCACGTGGAGGACATAAAACAAAATATTTTTTTAGGTTTTATATATGCATTTGAATAACTAAAAAAAATCATAAATTACTACATTAATACCGTAGAATTCCACTATAATTTATCAAATGTAGTAACTAAGCTGTATTTGGATCTAAAAAAATATGAAATTTTGAGCAGACTAAAGACACAACCTACCACACTGAAATTATGATTTCAAAGAAAGAAATGATGCTAAGTATATTAAAAAGGCTTAAAA